CAAAGTTAACTCACACATGCATCACAAAGAGGGCAGCCACCAAAACCTACATAATTTGAAGCAATCGATTGAAGCAATAACTTACCTCTATGGCAACGACAACCCTAGGTGTATTAGCACCTCCGATAGCCTGTCTCGCGAAGCCTTTCTCACGTACAGAAAGCCAGCTCGTCACGCAGCCCCTGGATTAGCCTCCCTCGCGAACTCGAAGCTCTACTCGAAACCGCGACACCACCCACTGACATGATGACACACCTTCTCACGTTGCCAAAGGACCGTCGTGAACAAACCCTAAGATAAGCACCGTCCACAATCGAAGGCGTCACGTCAATGCCTCTGTCCTTCAACCACACACGCTTTTGGACAATGGAGAGGAGCTCAAGAACGATCAATGGCGATCGCGGAACCGCAATGGATGATTGGGAAACAATGGTACCTGAGGAGCTCAAGGTGGTTTTGAACTCTGAACGAGACACGGAAATAAATTACGGTGGGGGGAGAGGGAACTCAGAAAAGGGGAACCTTCTTTCGCGAATAGGGATTTTGGGAGAATGGAAGCGGGAAATCCCAATTCCTGATTTCATTAAGTCCATGTCTATACCAACGGCCAAAAGCATTCGGTAAATTCGCTGCCGCTTACCGACGGTCATAAGTCGTCCGTAATAACCATCTTAATTGACCGTCGCTAAAGCCTTCGGTAAATCATCTATACCGACGGCCAAAAGGTCGTTGATATTAATCCTTCGATAATTTATGTTTTTTTTGTAGTGGACAACACTACAAAGGTCAAATGAGTTGGTGTTGGACGAAATTCGACCTAGTTTGTCCGTGCAAGGGTCGGTCAAGTCATCTCCATCAAAGGTCGGTTGTGTTGGCCCCGAGTGAAGCTTGATTGAGTCAATATTAGTAAAATATTGAGCCAAGTCAACCAAAATTAATATGGAGCCAAGTTGACCTAGATTAAAAGTTTAGACCAAATCTACCTATAAGAAGAAAGATCAAAACGAGTTGACTCAATCCATATATAATATATCGAATAAATTATATCAATTCTAACCTTGTTAACAAAGTGGATTAAATTTAATTTTAATCCAATTAGATTAAAAAATTCAAATTTTATTTATTTAATTAAAATGCATTTCGATTTCTATTTTAACTATATCAACTATATTTATATTAGGCTTAATATCCTATTTTGTCCCCAGTTTCGCTCGACAATGTCAAATTAGTCCATCCTTTAAAACGTGCGTCAATTACGTCCCTACTTAATAAAATTTATATCAATGAAATCCCTTCCGTTAAATCCGTACAAACGGCGTTAATTATTTTTTTCTCTCTTCTATTAACGTCGTTTGTACGGATTTAACGGAAGGGATTTCATTGATATAAATTTTATTAAGTAAGGACGTAATTGACGCACGTTTTAAAAGATGGACTAATTTGACATTGTCGAACGAAACTGGAAACAAAATAGGGTATTAAGCCTTTATATTATAGATAGAATATAGATTCAATTCGATCTCAATTAAATCTAATTTAGATATTAAAAAAATCTAATCCATGATCATCTATGGCTTCTTCAACTACTGGTCAAACCTATTAATTTGAACAGACCAATAAAGATAAGATAAATTGAAAAATTGAAACTTCAATTTGCGGCTTCAATACTTTCTACAGTTGATACCCAATAACTTTGACTTGACAATTTCAGGAAAGAGATTACATTCCATTCAAACCAAAAGACTGTCCACCATTTCTCGCCCATAGGTTATTATTATCTTAAGTGATTCAAATTTGTTATAAATAAATATTTAAATTATGTTTTTTTATTTATGATAACTATTTTATATGATCATATAATGATATTTTTAATTATTGATATGCTTTATTAAAATATTGAAATTCAAATTAGAACTATATTAAAAATAATAAAATAAATCCTTAAAATTGTCCTCTTCCAGGGGAAACAGTAAATGTTACGATTGAAGAATAACTATTAAAAATACTTTCATTGATAATTATTTTAATTTAACTTTTTTAGAAATAGATGCATCCTTTTATTTTTTTTTAAAATTTAATTTAAGTTATTCTGGTATTCTATTAAAACTATCAAAATATTTAAAGAAAGACATTTTGGTTTTTTAACTTATGACTGTTAACTTATAAAAAGTCTTATTATATTGTTTTTTATTCCGATGTGTAATATTTGAATAGAATATATAAATATCACACTTACCTAAGAATTTTACGTAAACTATTGAACTTTCCTGTACTTTAATTTTATTTTTCAGGATAGTTGTTAACTTTTTTCTCTTTTTTATTATATAATTTACTCTCTAGTTATTAAAGCCGCTATGAATAATATTCTATAACTTTCTTCATGCAAAAACACAGTTATTGTTATTTTTTAATTAAAGTAATGCATAAATATATCTTTAAATGCTTTGGTAACAACCTTACACTAAAATCATTGTTATTCTATTTTAAAATATTTATATCAAATAAATAACAAAATAGATAATATAAAAAGAGAAAAAATTATACATTACTTTTCTAAATAAAACTAAAAAAGATAAGAAAACAAGATTTATATGTAATTAGTACTGCTGCATATATGACTTTTAACAACGACTAAAAATATTAAAAGAGTTTTGGATCTTTCCTTATTTAAGATGTTATAAATTTCATCATATACGACGACTGGTTAGATCGTTGAAAGAAATAAGTATTTAACGAGGGTTTATGTTCCAAACTGTAGTTTTTATTGCGATAGGGGTGAAGAACAGGTGTAGAGGTTAAATTACTTTTGGTTCATTGTTCCCCACATACGTGTTTTTCTATAAATTGCATGGAAGGTCTTAAAGAAAACCTCGTTGAATTACTGTAAAATTACTTGTTTACTTCTATGGTACTATTCTATGGTAGGAGGAGTGTCTACTAATGTGAAATTGACTTTAAATTAGGTAGAAATGAGAAAAGTCAATAATATATAAGGAGGAAAACCCAATCACATTTGCTTAAGACATTTGGTTACATGCGATTACATTATCTTTTATATGTGTTTGATCATGACTCATTATAATCAAATTTTATTGTTTTTTCTTCTTAGAAAAGCTCAGCAAGTGATATTAAAATCATAAGTTGATCTTGGTAATCAGTTCAAATAAATAAAATGTGGACTGAATGAAAAAAATGAAGTTTTTAGGTTCTGCCATTGAACTGAAATAAATAAGATAAACAACATATAATACTCTAACCTTAACATTTCATATTTCTCTTAGCATGAATAACCTTGAACCTTTAAGAAGAAAATAACTAAGTTAGAGTTATTTTCGAAATTTATCACCTGTATTATTGTTCCAATGTTTCTGTGGAACAGATCAAATATCAAATAAAGACAACATATTTGTATAATCATGAGTAACCTAGGGTTAATATTTATAAATCAAGTACAATTAAATAATTTTAATTACGCTTAATAAATAGCTATATTATGAATAGTGTTACTTAAAAACATGTGAAAGTTAGAATCAATTAATTATGAAATGATTCAAAAAAATATTTCAATTTTATTTGTCTGTTTTTCTTCTCGAACAGTATATAATATCTTATTTAGCATGAATGGAATCTTTTAGCTTTGAATGTACATTATAAAATTCCATGTAATTCACAAAGTCGTTCAAACCTTTTCATTGTTAATTTATTAAAATCTAAACAACTAAATCCTGTTGCAAAAGTCTTTGAAGTCATTTTATGCTTCACTGGTTGTGTTTGATTTGTTTAATTCGCAACTTGTTGCCTAGAAAATGCTTAGTGTCTACGGTCGTGATTAATTTCTATGTATCAATAATATTTTATATATCTCCTAAAGAAAAACCAAATTTCATGGAGTCATTTTGCCTATAAAATCTGACATTCCTGTATTCTCTTGTATAGGGGTATCTCTACGTTCTTATCTGTTCTATAGAGTTTTTGTGTTACTCTGTGCGGTGAGTTTCCATGGCTACGGCACATCTTATATCTTCTCCTAACGTCTCTTCACTCACAACTGGTACTTATACTCACTGTCTTCTATTTTGGTTCATTTTTCACTGCAAAGTTATTTTCTGAATAATATGTGGAAGCATGCATTCAACAGTATTTACTGTGAATAATAGGTGCAAATCTTTGGGGCAGGAAACTCTCCTTCAACAGTATTTACTATGAAAGTAAGTCTCATCACTTATACCCTATTCCTGTCAACTAACATTAATTATGGCTAATTATTTGATCAGCTTTCCGATGAGTATCTCACTCTTTCACATCTTCATGTTGGAAACTTAGACTTTAGAATGATTTCCAATTGGATGTAACAGTGGACTTATTTATATTTGATGATGACTAGATTTCTCGCATAATCCCTGTTTACTATATAATTTTACAGACAGATATTAATTTTACTAATTTTTATATTAGCCTTAAATATTACAGTACTGTTTATTCATTAATTAATTTATTACATGTTACTTAACTTTAAAATATATTTCCAGAAATAACAATAATTAAAATTGATTATTTTATAAATATGCTGGTATTTCAGGAAATATATTTTAAAGTTATTTTAAAATTATAAAATTTAAAAGTTACTTTATAAATTGATTTATTTAAACTTAAGAATGGTAAATTTTAAAAACAAACAATTATATATCGGTATTACTTTTAAATTTATTTATAAAATATATTTCACAAACAATAATAACGTATAAATATGTAACTATATTTAAAATGCTGCAAAAATAATTATAATTAAGGATAAAAGTTAAGTACTGGATCTTTTATGGAGACATAAACTTTAAAAGTCAAATTATTTGAAAACTTATATGATATTATCACTTAAATTGAAGTTAGTAATAAAGAATGAGAATATTTATTTTAGGTTAATACATTATTTTAACTATTATAAAAATTTACATGAAAATATACTATCCAAAACAACTTTTCTGTTTCTTGGCCAGTTTACAAACTATCATCCAAAGTATCTATTAATTTAGCATAGGATTCAATTAGGGCCTTGTTATAGTAATTTTCTATTTGTAAGAGACTATTGAATTAGATTTTCTCTCAACCAAATATTTTCATATTAAGTTTATTTAATATTTTCTCCAAAAAAAAAATTATAGTTGTTTTTCAACGAAATTTCAATTTTCAAATTATTTCATCATCACCTTGTCATGACTTTAAATATATATCTTCTTGTTGTGCATGTACAACTTTAACACTTTGTACATTAGGTTCTGGTGGATCAAAAGCTTCTAAGTACAATATAAAAGCTCAAATACAGTATAATCCTTTGAGGTCTCAACAATCACTGTTTAATAACCAATACAAAAACACTGAAAGAGGAGCAACATATGAAGAAAGCAATAAAAGTTATGTTGTGAAAGCCGTCGCTGTGCCATCTTCTGAGTCAGAATCTGAAGTTTCCAACTCCAAAAACATTGAAAGAGGAGCAATATATGAAGAAAGCCATAAAAGTTATGTTGCGAAAGCCGACACTGTACCATCTTCTGAGTCAGAATCTGACGCTTCCAACTCCAAAAACATTGTCGACTCTGTCAAAAATTTCATGGCTGTTGTATACCAATTTATTTACCCTTACGCAATGTATGGTCGAGTAAGTACAAACTTTTCCATCACTCTCATAATTCATGTTCAAAAGTCATGGTCAATAACTGAGTTTTTATTCCTTGGTATTAAATTCCCATTTAGATAATTAATACTTTTTTGTTTTAAATTAATTTCATCTGTATTTTATAGACGTCAACGACAATTTCTGCGTCTCTCGTTGCAGTAGAAAGACTATCAGATATATCTCCGTTGTTTTTTATTGGATTGTTACAGGTGACACTCCAAATATGTTGTTTTTTAAACAGACAATTCAAAAATAAGCTTTAACCTCAATAATAAATATTCTTTTGAGTTGTTTCAGGCTTTGGTACCTTCCTTGTTCATGGATCTTTATGTTAATGGAGTGAATCAAGTGTTTGACTTCGAAATAGATAAGGTATGAAACTTACTATGAATCATTGATAAATTATTTATTTATTTGTTTTATATACTTTATATATATTGCATTAAAAATTATAATAAAAGCATTCTTGTTGTATAAGATTGACCTAAACCTATAAGAACAAAGTTTACACAAATACAACAATATGAATAATTTATATAATTTTCACTTTCAAATTCCTTGTCATAATCGAGAACGACGTATTCTACGTTTTTCTTAATGGGAGTACAGCCAAACTACAGCTCCCAAATTTTGACCGAAAACATAACTATTTTTTTAATGTTAATTAATTCAGTTTATGGGACATATTAAAGTAATTTAAAATCTATTTTATATGTTACCGAATTAATTAAAATAAGAGAAAATATAGTTCCATTTTTGGAACAGTTTATTAATGTAATGTACTTCAACCTTGAAAATGGTGAGATTACTTAACAAGTTTTTATATAACTTCTCGTAAAAAAAATAAAAATAAACCCTTTATAATTTTGAAGCTAAAGTCTTCCTATGATTGCTATATCCATTGGTAGGATGGTGAAAGTGTACCTTTTTATAGTTTACGAACCTTTTGGATGTTTCTTAGAAATAATAGATGCTACATGTTTTAATGCAGATAAACAAGCCACATCTTCCATTCGCCTCTGGGAAATTATCCTTCAAGAATTGTGTCTTTATTGTTGCCGCATCTGCAATCTTGGTGCCATATAGATCCATCCCTTTCCATAATAAAAGATTTTAAAATGAGATTCATTGAGAAAAAAGAGTTATTCGTTTTATTCTCTTTTACAGGGTTTGGGGCTTAACTTGATGATAGGTTCTCCGCCACTGATTTGGAACTTTGTCTTGAACGTTGTATTAGTGAATTGCTATTCAATGAATGTGAGTTCTTTTAGGATTTAAACTTCTTTTTTTCCCTTACAATATGTTTGAAGGTGTAGCTATGAAAAGGTTGCCAAGGGAAACATATATATAAATATCTGACGGTTCTGAAACTTTCCAGCTTCCTTTCTTACGATGGAAGCAACATCCGGTGCTGGCAGCATTATTCGTAACCACTAGTCTGACATTGCTATTTCCAATTTCATACTTCCTTCATATGCAGGTTCTGTCCTATCACTAATATTTTCTTTTTATAGATCTTAGTTTTTAATTCGCATGTTCAAATAATAATAACAAATTTCATCCCAAGATTTGGGTTAGTTTCATTTGATACACAATCAACCATTTGAATCCACCAATCAGAAATGGATTTACTAGATTACTAATTGATGTAACGAATGTTACAGACGTTTGTGTTGAAGAAGCCACTTATGTTTACAAGATCATTGATTGTTACTCTGCTGTTCATGGGTTTGTACTCTACTGGTATAGCATTATCTAAGGTAAATGTCTTTATTTTCTAAGAATGTATTAATTTTCGAACATGAAGCTTTTAGTTCGATAATGTAAAACATTGTGTTGGATTTGTGTAGGATATACCTGACGTAGAAGGAGATATAAAACATGGCGTTGATTCTTTCGCAGCACGTTTAGGCCAGAAAAAAGTATGCTTCTTAAATTCAATATTTTCTTTTGATTATCTTCTCTTTGTATAACATTTGATAGATTCTAAATCTTTGATAGGTATTTTGGATTTGTGTTTCCCTTTTTGAAATGGCATTTGGAGTTGCCTTCTTGGCAGGAGCATCATCTTCATCTCCCTTTTGGATTAAATTTGCCGCGGTAATATGTTTCTTATATTTACATAAGCTGAAATTTTAGTTATGCAAAATCTGCATTATCGATAGTAAATAGAAAAAAAATGAAAAAGAAAATTTAGAAACAAATGCCGTATAGGCTGAAAATGTAAGAGTGAACTCATTTCTTTTTCCTTCTGAACCTCTCTATACATCAAAGTTTCTTAAAGTTCAATAAGGATCTCTTATGTTTAACATTACTTGCTTATGATATGGCATGTATATATTTATATTTAGATAAAGAAAGATTTCCTTAGAAAGTTGTCTTTACTGCGTAGATTATTCCAACTTTATAATCTGATGCAAAGCATATTTACATACATATCATTATAAATGAATATAAAGTCAAAGTTTTGAACAATATTTGAAACTGAATCTGTGGTATGTTTTAGTGTCTTGGAAATGTTGTTCTTGGTTCAATTCTCTGGTACCGGGCCAAAGACGTAGATGTGACAAATCCAGCTTCTAGTGGATCCTTCTATTCATTTATCTGGAAGGTAATTAATTCTTCTTTTAAACAGTGTTTACCATCTAGTTCAATATCCAGACTATAATTTGAAGGGAATAGTTATCTAAAATAACGTAAGTCCTTATTTGTTTGAATTTGCAGTTGATGATGGCGGGACACGTTTTTCTGCCTTTAATCAGATGAGGTGTCACTGAAGATTAAAATTACATTTGCGACAAATAACATAGAGACCCTTCACATATAAATTTCCTGAAGCAATGTGTGTTCTCTAGATATATGATGAGTTTTGAATCACTAAGATTTTTTTTTTAATTGTATGATGATTTTCAGTATCTATATCGAGCTTTATCTCTATAGATACATCTTTCACGAAAGAAATAAGAAAATACAAGTTATAATTAGATTTTCTTTTTCATCATAAACAAAAAAAATATATAAATAAATATACAATAATGATAACCATGAGTCTATGCAAATATGTTCAATCTTGAACCATTCATAATATTAGAAAGAGGTATTCAATTGGTGAAATATATTCTTTTCTTCTCGTACAAAATTGGAAAAATACAAATTATTCTTCCGAAATTAAGTTAATTAATAATTAATCTTATGTAATTAAGTTAATCAAATCTTGGTAATTAGGTTATTAAATATTATGTAATTATGTTATGCATAATTACATTTTTGCGTTTAACATTATGTGTTTCTTCTCTATACTATATATCACACTCTAAGGCTTTCTCTTGTATTGTAGTTTGCTTCCAATTGATGTCACACCTTTCTTTCGCCAACAACCTCCTTCCACACCCTAACACCCTTTCTTTTCCAACTCATGTGTTGCCCTTCCTCTTTGAGTAATCATGGGCTTTTTTTTCCAACTCATGCACTATACTTCCTCTTTGAGCAACCGTGAGTCACCCCTTCCTTCTCGATCGCGTGCCATCTCCTAGTCTTAGCAACTGCGCACCGACTACACAGTCAACGCCTCTTCTTTCTATTATACACTCGTGTCCTACCATTAATCCCATTTCTTCAACCACTTCCAATCTTAACTCCTCCTCAAGTAAACCTAAATTTCATCCAACACTCCTGATCACTATTATAAAAAATAACGTCCCTTTTATGTTGGACATGGAGAATGACCATTATCCTATGTGAGCTAAACTTTTTGATACTAATGCTTAGGCTACCAAAGTTCTTCACCATATCATCCCACAACCTAGGAAGGAATGTCCAACTCCAACCAATACTAATAACGAACAATGGATCACTCTTGATTCTACTGTACTTCAATGGGTCTACTCTACCATCTCTTTTTATCTCCTCACCAATATTGTGGAGAAAGGTTCCATAACTATGACTACCTAGAATCGTTTTGCTGTCATTTTTCAAGTAAACTAGAATTTCAGTGTTATTACACTTTTCAAGTAGTATTTTTCTTCCACTCGCAGGGATAACTTTTTGAATATTTCTGCATATTGTCAACGACTCAAACAAATCTTTAACCAATTGACGAATGTTGGTGCTTTTGTCAGCATGCATGAGGGTCTAATAATTCTCTTTTGAGAAATGAAATTGATCCTGATTAGAACGATTGTAACACCCCAATTCTCAAACGATTGTAACACCCCAATTCTCAAACGATTGTAACACCCCAATTCTCAGTGTCATGAGTTATTACAAAAATCGGGCATTTCAAAATATTCTTATAGCACAAAAACATATTATCTCCTCACGTATTATCCATTATATGATCATCGTTGATAATATCAATTACAAATACAAACACAAACAAGTATGAAGTAAGGTACGGTTAAAGGAAACCATAATAACATAATATACGATTATCAAATAACATCACATAATATCAAACATGCAACCCCATTCTTATCGTTATTTACATAATAATTACTATTTCATTGCCAATACAAAATAATAACGATCTCTCAATCCTTGATGTCATCACAAACATCATCTCCATCATGATCATTATCACATATGCCACCGTCATGAATATCCTCATCATGAACACCATCATGAGCATTCAGATCATCATGAACTCCATCATGAAAGACTCGGTCATACTCTTGTACCACTAGTACAAAATAGGCTTTTTAAGTCTGTTATTTTGAGCTTTTTAAGTTTGTTTTAGAATAGACTTAGATTCGACATATTTAAATTTTAAATTTGTTATTAAGCAATAAATTTAAATTTTAACTCTGTTGTGAATCAACATACTTAGATTTTCCATCCAAAATTATAAATTCTTAACCCTAAAAATCACTAACCGAAACATGTACTCAAAATTGGAGATAGGAAGAGTGATAAGAACGTTGCAGAACATGGAAACACGAGAGGCGACATCGGGAGTAGTAGTGCAAGAGGCGACGGCGGTAGCGACAAAGCAAGAGGCGACAACGGTAGCGCGAAAGGCAACGGTAGCAGTGGTAACGCAAGAGGCGATGACGACAGCGGTAGCGTGAGAGGCGATGATGGCAATGACAACACGAGAGGCGACGGTGTCAGTGGCAGCGTGAGAGGCTACGACAACAGCATTGTGCGAAGGGGTGAGGAGACATGACCTATGAGGCATCAGTTCCGACAAGCATGCCCTTGGAGGCAAAGGCGAGGAGATCTCGCACAAAGATGAAGGTGGAGGGCATGAGAAACTAACAACACTTCCCATCGGACTTGTGCGAAAAAAAAAGGTGTGGGATGTGAGCAAGTGTGGGAGGCGCAAGACGGCGAAAGAAAATGATGAAAGAAGTGTTTTGTTTTTTGAGTAAAAGAAGAAGGAGAACTAGTGTTAAGAAAAGTTGTGATTTAGATTAAAAATAGATTTAGTTATGTTAGAAAACTAATAGATACAAAATTAAAGTCTTATTATTTTCCAAAATATTAATTTAACTCTTTCAAAAAAGTCAACAAATACAAAATTTTAGTTTGTTTGAATTCCAACAAACTTAAAATCAAAATTTAAGTGTGTTATGATATTATCATATTTAAAATATGGACTTTTATTTAATAAAAGGTTTAAAGAATAATTCTGATGTATTATTTCAAAGAGTAGA